AACAGCTCAACTCAGATGCAGATGTGTTGAATGTCACATGGTACCATCTTTTGTTCTTTTGAATCATGTTAGAATATAGCCCTTGTTTAGTTACTATTGGTGAAAATGAACCTGTATAAAAGTCAAATGTGGTGCTTCTCAGTATCTATAAAAAGAACTTATTTCTTCTAGTAGAAGCAATAGTAGAAGAAATTCCCTTTCAGCAGGGACTGAAAATGGAGCATAAACATTTCTTTTTATTTGTAGGAATATACCAAGAACTTAAGGCAGATGATTTGTTTTAGGTAATTGTTCTCATTCTCATCCTCTTCATCATCATACCTAACACGTGCTAAGCACTTACTATGCCAGCACATGTACTGAGTAGGTGCTCTGTATGTGTCATCATATCTAATCATCACAAGAACCCCATGATATTACAATGAGAAGTTGCTGCAGTAGCTAGGGCTTTAGGTGAAATGCTTTATATTTGTTTTTGCCCTCTCACTCCAGACACAGCTAGATTAGCCCCTCATAGACTATGGGCCTCAGTGCAGCTTATCAGCAACATTAGATTAGTTTTGCTTCCGGGTCCTGTGGTTGTATGTGACCTAATCCAGGTGTGTTTACCATGGCATCTCTCATATTGGGCTCATGGAAGAATGACTACAAACCTAAATTAAAAACTCTGGAACACAAACAGGGTTTAGTTTATAAGTTAATCAGTGACTTAGTCCTATTAAGGTGAGGATTAGAGGTGACTTGGGTCATGTTTCACTTTTCCTTCTGTTCTTCGACACCTATCATTTCAAAACAATAGAAAATGTCATGAATACCTAAAAAGTCTTCACATTGCTCTTCAAATGTGACTATACATTGGTACTCTCTAGGGATGATAAGAGAAAATCTCTTTTCATCCACAGCTCAACTTAAGTTCAAACTAAGACATATCCCAAACTCAAGGAGACATCATTGCCTTAATATTAGACCTCTCCACAGAGTTTCTCATATAAAATACAGAGAAAACTTCAAACATTATCATCAAATAAAAATCCTTTATAGACTTCTCTGGTAAAACCAGTCCTGGAGCCATGTGGCTAAATTCTCTGACCCATTTTTCTACAGCCACACAAATAAGAGTCAGATCCTTACTTGTACAAGATAGAGGCTCAAAAATTGCTTTTTCTCATTAGAGATGACTCCAGATTTTATCTATTCTTTGCATATCTATGTACTGCTTTTCCCTATGTTCTACTACCCTTAGTGACAAGTGTGGGTAAAGTGGAAATTATCAAGGTTTTTAACAATGAATCATTACCCGATCATGTTTCTAAGTCATCATCAGGTCCTTCCATTTTCCTTATGGATTCTGAATGCTCAAGTTATTTCCTCTCTGACTTTTGCTGCTTTCTTTGTTGTGGTAACCACCATACCTGAGAAAAATGTTCAAAGCACGTTGCTAGAAATCTCATCTCTATTTTAAATGATGTTAAAATGAAACTCTTCTTTCTTTAGTTTTGAACAAACCATTAATATGATAGCTATTATATAATAAAAAAGATTGGCACATATCTACTCATATAAGAATTTGTAAAGGAAATGATTAAGAACCAGCTCAATGACTCATTTCCCTTGACCAGAAAAAAGTGTGCAGAGTAGACAGAATGTGGGGTTAGGAAAAAAATCTTCCAAAAAACTTCTCTAGAGAGAGCTGTGGCTTTGCTGTTGTTATTGCTTTGAAACAGTAGTGGATCATGTACCTGGAAACTTGAGAGGATAATGTTGGTCTTTCTACTATCTTCACCTCATGTTTAGTGAGGGGGCTTCCGTGGGATCACTCAGACATCTTGAAATATGCTCCTTGTTATTGGGAGACTCAGAAGACTTGAGAAAGCTAAAACCACTGTAGAAGAAGGAAAGTGTTGTCTGCATTAAGTTTATCCTGGATTTTAGAATTTATGGGGACAAGGGATGCATGAATGTTTATTTTGGATGAGGTTATAAGTCATGCAGAAAAAAGAGCTGACATGTGGTCATATTGGATTGTGTCCACAAGAGCCATCTCAAGGGACAGAGGGTTCCCAAAAGCAAGAAATTAGCAATACTTGATTCTAAGAAGTTGCAAGGGATCCCAAGAACAAATGAAATTTCCAACTCAGGTGGAGTTAAAAAGGGAGGAGGATATCAACCTGAGGTAGAAGAAAGCCAAAAAATGTGAGGTATGAGTTACAACTCAGGCTAATTATTGTTAGACAAAATCTATATTAAGATGACACAGACTTATTAGAGTATCAGTTCCAAAAATGAAAGCACCATGATTGTTTTACTCAATATATATATATTTTTTTCATTTGGCATATCACCTTGTATAGAGTATTTGCTAATAAATAATTAAATGAATGGATGATGCCACTTGAGAGTACACTGGCTTCCTTTCTTAAAACTTGTTTTAGGTCCCTTGGCAGAGGGGATTGTTAAATTAAGATAGTCTACTGTTGAGCTCTAATATAATATTAGAGCAAACAACATGTCTACATGCTCTTGGTAGAAATATGTGCTATATAAGAAGAGACTGGTCTTTCTAGTCCTCACAGTACAAGTGTATGGAATGGAGGTTCATATTAAGAAACCATAAGGCCATAAGGCAAGCCCTGAGTCATGAGAGGGCAATTGGACACTACTTTCCTACATTGCTAAAGTCTCCATCTAACCAACTCGATGGTTTTTACCTCTCCAGAGATGAGATCAAAATGTGCTTATAGAGACTCTGCAACTGCATTTAAGTACCTCAGCAAATCTCCTCAGATTCTACCTGCTCCTTTGCCCCAACCCTCTTGCTCCATTACAGAGTTCTCAGATTCTACCCTACTTCCTTATAGCTGCTGTCTGCTATTTTGTTCATCCTAGGTGAAGTTAGAAATAATCTGTTTGGTTAGCATTTTAAAGCCCACTGGCATGCTGTCTTTCTGATTTTCCTTGGTTTCATGTACCATTATCTGTGGACAAAGCCTGCTTTATTTCCCATACATAGCGAAATTCTCTTTGGAGTCCTTGCTTCCCTAAGAAGGCACTTCATATCTGTTGAGGATGTGCCAGGAACTGTGTTCCATGGTTTACATAATAATGAAAGTAACTACTAATAATAACATCTGAGAATTATTTAATAGTGTTATAATCAAGATGCCAGTTGCTGTGCTACAAGCTGTCCTTGAAAGAGGTAAGCAGGGACTAAGTTATGAAGGACAATGCCACATCATTTAAATTTGATCCTGTGTGAGGTGGGGCTTTATGGAAGGATTTTAAAATGGGAATTCATGTGAGCAATGTTCTTGGGGACTTCAGGACAGTATTATGAAAACCAAGCATTGTATAATACTATTTAGATTTTTGATTAAAAAAAGGCGTGTGTACCTTTACACAAAATGATTCCAGACTCATACCTTTTAAATTTTTCATTCTGCTTCTTCTAGTTTTATTTTCTGTCTCATTACTTGCTATCAGTTTCTCAACTATTGCTTACTTATCTCATCATAGTTGTGTCTCTGGCAGAATCTCAGATCTCTTTTTGATTGATTTGTAGCTGGAAAAGCAAATAGAATGATTTATATTGCAATTCTACACACATTTTGAATTATTAATAAAATGATTATTAGTAGCTTTTAAGAATTGCCACTGTTCCACTCATTGAGTACTCTGGCTTTATGATATTTCTTTTTAGTTACTTAAAGATTTTCCTACCCGTACTTTGCAATCTGATTTTTATGGACAATAAAACACCAATTTCCAAATAAGTAGACATAATAGAAAATGTTTGGGACTACAACGAGCACTAAACATATTCAGGTGGCAAGGTGGCACGATACTATGTGTGTGTGTGTGTGTGTGTGTGTGTGTGTGTGTGTGTGTGTATTAGGCACACATGTGGACAGGAAATTCAAAGAAGAAAGAGCTACAGATATAGGATCTAATGTCCAGTTGCCTTTAGATATTTGTCATTTCATTTCCAAGTGCTCTTATTGACTCAAGACTTTAGCTCCACACCAGGGGTTTGATGACTACATATCCTTTCACTGCATAGCTCAGAGTTCACCAACTCAAAATAATGAAATTGAAGGAGGAACCCTGATGTGCAAACAGCATATCTTCTGCAGACAGTGCAAAGTCCCACGTGTACAAATCCCCAGTCTCTTCCACAAAGGACTGGTTCAGATCAAACCTTCTTCCATAGGCATCCTGCTCCTTTCCCAGGACAATCTTGGGGTGAGCTCCCACAGAGTAACCCTGCCTCAAGTCCTTTCTCACCAGGGGCTTCCCATTAACCCCAAATTTGGCAATGCCAGAGGAGAACTGCCAGGTAGTACAGATGTGCACCAGGGAGGGGAATTCTTCCATAACTTTGAAGGTAATTATGGTTCCTTTACTGTAGAGAGTACGCTTTCCACAGTTTCTTTAAAAATTAGTAGCTCATTATCATTGTACTGGACACTGTAGGAAAAGAGGCTATAGGCATGAGAGAGGTCATTTTAGGCTCAAAAACACAAGATAAAGTTCTGCAGGAGTTTCTTCAGCTTTGTGATCAAGTTCACATGGTCACTAGAAGATTTCTAGGGAACACAAACACCTTTCCACTAAGGTTGTGGGATAAAGAAATATAATGACCTTCACCATAAATGCAGGAGAAAAACACCACATTCAATCTTTTTTTCTCATTTTATGCTCCTTGATCATCCCCTGACCACCTTACCTATCTGACCAAAGGTTTCTGTGAGAATGGTGAAGACAGAGACTCATAGGAGCATCTCCTTTATGTTCTTGACCTGGGCTGTTATAGCAGCAGTAGTCACTAGGATGAAAGGACAAACAACATAGTGGTTTTTCACCCAGCTTTTGAGGTTCACAGTCTTAGAACTCAGACTATTCTGAGTTTTTATGCGCCTCTGGGTGAGGATGGGAGATGGAGAGTACTGATAACGTGTGAATGATTTTCCAGGCCTGTCCCCTGGTGCCAACAATCAGAGCTACGGGTGGGAAAAGAGGGGCGGGCTCTGGGTTAGGAAATCAATGGAGTTATTTATTAGATACAGGGGACTGCCAGAGCCCTAATCCCATATGACCCAGATTCTGGTGGTGGAAAGACAGTGGTTATGGAGCTACAGTGCAGTGGATGAGATGAGAAGCCAAGTTAGTCGCATCAGGAGGGATTCAGACCAAACTCCACGGGCCCCTCTGTCCGATGACCTTATGCTCCTGAGTCATGTAGGCAGTGTCTCTGGGCTTGAGCTTCTTGTGGGCCATGGGTGAAAGGCTTTTTCTTCCTTTTATAGTTTTGTAAAGTAGTCTTCTGCTTGTAGAACATTCTGAGATTCTGCTTTCTGCTGAAGACCCTGAAAATTTGCTTCGCTTTTGATAAATTCAATATTGAGTGATATGTTCATGCCATTGGTAAGAGGAAAGAGAGAATTGAGAGTACAGTATATACTTTGTGTCTCCTATAGTATTTTCAGCTACTATTACTAAGCTCTTTTTTTTTTTTTTTTTTGAGTATCATGGTGTTTCCTTATGCTAGATTTTCCCATACATTTCTCATTATGACTAATTTTTCCTGGTAACTTGCTTACTCTCTGCAGTTTTCCTCTCTTCTTCCTTGAGTCCCTGGACATTGAGAGTATATTTATATTAATCTTTGGTGGTGATGCAGTCAATATATTACACTCACATTTATTAATTAATTCCCAGGCATTGCACTAGGTGTTGTGGATTTAGTAGTGGTTTTCCCTGGCATAACCCCAGGGACTTCCATCTACATTCCCTCTGCTATTACTTAAAATATCACATTTATTAGCCACCACTCATACCTGCTCTTCCTCTATAATATCTAACTAAAACTCTCTTTTCTAGCCACATTATTTTCCATCTTCCTCATACCAAAATTTTATGGAAACATTTTCATCCTGTTATCTAGTCTCTTGTTCATTTCCTCTTCTTTCAGCTCACTTCAAACCTCTAATTAGCTTTTTCAATGACACAATAACTACTTTCAAGAATTCACTTTCTCTACAATTGTTAAAATTACCCTTCGAATCCTCTGCTCTAGGCAGTTCCCATTCTCTAACTTTTTTTCTAAGCTGAATCCCAGGTTGTAGAGCCTTATCTGGCATGTTGCACAGTAGAAGTTAGTGTTGGAGTGGGATTATACACTTTACCGTCTCCTGAATTAAATACCAATCCTTTATCTTGGAAGCCAATGCCATTCAGTCTGGCTCCAGCCTGGCTCTCACCTCTTAGTCAGACAGTATCCTCTAGTTAAATGCCTCAGTCATTCCTCGTACATGCCTGGCTTTCTTATTTCTATTTATTATCTTCATTCTGTCTTGAATTTCTTTCTTATCAGTCTCTGTTACATAAAATTCTAACATTCTTCAAAATCAATCTCAAAAGTTATGTGTTTCAGAAAGGATTTTCTGATGTCTCAATTGGACATTATTTTCACCTCTTTTTAACTCCTCATAGGTTAAGAGCAAAGAATTTGGAGGAAAGTTTACTAATGGTTGACTACTGTGAAAGTCAGTAAATCTTGAACCTGATTTCTTTTTCTGCAAAACAAAGATAAAACTATTCACCTCATAGTATTTTTGTTAGTGTAAACAAGACACCATAATGTGCATGAGATGCATGGAAAAGTGTCTGAATAGTTTTTGTTATTATTATCATTTTGAGACCTTTTATGGATATTACCATTGTGTGTCTCATATTATAGATATCAGTGTATTTAACTTTTATAAAGTTGGGCATTAGGTTTTATTCATTTTTCAGTCACCCATTTTACTTAACAATTAATTCTGCCCATGAGAAAAGCCTAGTATATATTTGTGGAACTAAAGGATACAAGCAGGGTGGGGACTTTTTACATAAAATAATTTAGTAGCAATAGGAAGTAGAATCCAATTGAGTAATACAAGCAAATCATGCTGGAAGTAGAAGCTGTGAAGTAACTTTTATTGGAAACCCAGGGACTATGCAATTCCCTTTCCCAGATGCTAATAAGTGCCATAAAACTTAGAGAACACGGGGTTTACCAGCTGCTTCTAGTTTTTATCATAAATTAATATATTATCATTCTATCTACCAAAACTGGTTTGGAGATTTATATGGATGAGAATCTTCTCTATTGTAAGATGAAGTCGTGCCCATTTTTCTGGGTGATGAGGAGTTTCTACTGCTATCAGAGTCAAGTGCTAGAGTTTATAGGGGGACACAAAAATGGCATGCTCAGACAAGCCTGGCTGGAAAGCAGGTTTTGTAGTAGAATGGGAAAAGGGGGAAAGGGGTGGAAATTGATTTCGTTCTTTAGTTTCTTTCTCTGGAATGTGCTTATTAGGCCTTAGAAGAGATTAGCCCAAGCTTTAGGAGTTATCTAAATGGGAAATGAGGGTTCTTTTTGTTTCAGAAAGAAAAGCTCTGATGTCAAAATATAGGAAAATGAATCCTGGGTCTTCAGAACTGGGTGAAGTTCTCAAAGTGAACCAAATTCCTTTGGTTGCTGAGAGGCTCTTGCTTGCCTTCCTGCCAGTGAAATTTCAGGTGAGAGATGATTCTTGTCTAGGTGGCTCTGGAAGGGGTAAGGTTAGTGGAGGAAAGATGACAGTGTGTTGGATAGAATCAGGACCACCAGTATGCCTCAAAGAGAGCTGTCTTCATTATATCAGTTGGCATGCAGTAAAATTTGCCTTTAGAGAGGATGGGAGAAAAGGGCATTGGTGATGCCAGAAAGAGGACATGGCATAAAATTGGAACTGGAAAAAGGCAGAGGTGTGAGATCTAATTGGAGATTACCTGAAAGGTTAAATAATATTTGGAACATACTTTCTAAGGTCTAACAAAAAAGGACAAAGATGAGATTTAAAAAAATAAAAATGTATAGAATATAAAGTCAAATTTTATTCCAAATTTCTGATTGTGTATGATTTGGAAGAAAATGGTGCTACTGATGCAGATAAGACAGTTGAGAAGTTCATTTGGAAGAGGTGGAGAGTGGGTGATATATTTAGTTCCTAAAATTTGAAATGATAGTATGACCTACACAGAGAAAAGGCCATTGGAAAAATTGAAATATGTGAGTGCCATCTAGGATTAGAAATATAAGTTTCAGAGAAATCAACATATCAGTGATGATGAAACAAATAAATTATCTCCTTTAGTGGCAAAGAGAAGAGGGAAAAAGTCAGGGAATGTAGCACTGACTTGTGGGAGCACTTTCATTCCTGGGATTGGAGGCAAGGAGAGTCAGGGAGGGAGACAAATAATGTTTGGCAGAGATAAGGATAGTATGTGTAGTGTTATGGAAACCAAGTTATTATAAGTTTCCAGGAAACAGCATCCAGTGGTATTAAAAGCATCAGAAAATCTAAGTATCAGGATGCTGGATAGAGCAATAAAAACTTCATTGGTGACCTTTGAAAGACCAATTTTCTTAAAGCGAGCATGGCAGAAGCCAGGGTGCCAGGGGTAATGTAGAGAGAAAAAGGAAGGGAGTTTGTTTCTAAGGTTTAATAATTCTGACAAAGAACAAAAGGAAAGAAGCAAGATTCTGTATAAGGGACTTAATATGCAATGTGTATTGCCCATAAAGATTACAGGTGGTTTCTTCTTGACAGAGAGGCTTTTGTATCTCTGCTTCTCACCACATAGCATTTCACCCAATGACAAAAATCAGTGTCCACTTGATATTATGAGTGACGTTTCTATCAAAGTAGCTGTTTCAGACTCTAAATGCCAGGCTCCAAACTGCTGGCAGACTTCTACCTCTCCTTCCCAATTCTGGCCTAGTCACAAACTGGCCTATCCCTTTCCAGGTCCTGCTAATACATAGGAGTTTTTCTTTGATCTAAGTCCTCTGTTCCTAATTTTAAGGTTCATTTATAAAAGAAAATATCTAGTAAGTTTGCCATCTTCTACTTTTGGATTAAGTCTGACATCTAGACCATGCTACCTCAATGAAATCTTACTTCTGAATTCAGAATCAACTGAAAATCCTCTCTAGAATGTCACAATATTTATTTCTTAGTCTTTCCTCCACTAACCTTACCCCTTCCAGAGCCACCTAGACAAGAATCATCTCTCACCTGAAATTTCACTGGCAGGAAGGCAAGCAAGAGCCTCTCTTATCCTTCTCTACATCCCTAAATTATCACTCATTGATTTTTGAACCACTCATCTTCATAATATTTATAAAATTTATCTTTATTGCTGAAGTGGATTTTTTTTGTATAAAATTTGCCATTTTTTGGAGCCCACTGGCCATAACCATCTCCTTGCTGTTCATAGTACTTTTGTGAAAACAGCATGTGGGGGAGAAACTGTGAAAAGGAGAAAAAATATAATGTCAGGGATTCAAGATACAGTGTAACTCTGTGTCTTGAGTATGTTGAAGAGAAAAATTCTTTTTTCTATTCGTGGGGATATATTTCTCAGTCTACAGTGACAGAGAATACATGCATTGAAGAAGCAGGGGAAATTTTCTCACTTGTATAGTTGAAAGAAGTCTTAGCTGAAGGTGTCTTATTTCACTCTTGTCATCTTGTCTTACCCTACGCCATGTTTCTGCCCATGAGCTAGAGTCCATGTCAGAAGAAGAGAATTTTTCCATGTTGACCTATTGAATTTATATCCTTAGAACTGAAGAATGCAGAGAAAGAACTTCATGGAAGTTGACAGAGTTCACCTTGCTGGGCATGTCTAGCTTTATGAGTGCTGTCATCATATTTTAACTTTATCAGGGAATGACATTATCATGGCTGTCACTACATTGGCCATGTATTTTTGCCTGAGCATGTTGACTAGTTCAGAGACTATATACACTGGTCATAATTCCATCATACCTCTATTCTCATATCACAGAACTGAAGAATCTTCTTGTTCTTTGTCATTTTGACCACCGACAACTATTGCATGGTCATCTGAAAATGCCTGAGATATACAGTCTTTATGAACAAGAGGATGGGTACCCAGTTGATGTGCGAGGCTTTTAGTACTGACCTGAGCATAGCCATGTTCTATTTGTACTGTGACACTGGTGGCCCGTTTCTTCTAAGATATCCTTCCTGTAATGAAACTCTCCTTCATTGACACTAATATATATGAAGATGTTTTATTCTCCACACATATGTTCAGGTGTCCATAGGCTTGGCTTATATTTCCTACATCAACATTCTCATCACCATCATGCTTAGAATTGCCTCATCTGGAGGCTTTGCCACCTGTGCCTCCTGTGGTCTTTGTCTAGTATAGTTATGTCT